AGAGGCAATGAGATTGGCACAGGATAGAGCACGGTTTAGGGCTGTTGTACATAGGGTCGCTATGAGTCGCAAACAACTCAACGGCACATAACAACAACAACAACATTAGGAGGGAATGTCCTTGTTGCCACTTCCTCGTCTTCCTAGTTGTTGATATATCTTATTAACTACCTCTTTGAGTTTATTACTCTGTTTCTTCTTATAGTATTCTTCCAGAGGGCACATCTGTTTGTCTTAAAATTTGTAAATTTAGCCATACCTGTGAAGGCAGGTTTTAACTAACTCATGGTGGTTCCATAACAGGAACTCGAATAGTGGTAACACAGGGCACAGTAGACATCCAGGCTCTAGTTTGGGTATTGTCTTGCTTTGGAGTTCTAGGTACTCTTAACTGTTACTGCACCTAGGAGCTAGGATAATGTTTGCTGGAATCCTTACTCATTTAAGTGCCTTCAGAACTGTTAGTAAGCTTATATCAGAAAAATACTTCTGATCTATTAATATCCCTAGTTAAACATGTCTGCCACTCCTGGAGAGAATTTTCTTTAATCTTCCATGTTCTCTGGTTTAGTTAGTACACATGCAGTTTTGGGAAACTTTGTGATCAGAGAATTTTAGCTTTAAAATCACAAGTTAGTAATTTAGAGGTTAGGAACAAATGACAGGAAGGCAAGATAAAATTGATGCCTTTGACCAGTATTTTTTTTGCTCTCCATTTTATTTTTCTTTTATATTGGTTTGCATATAAAATTCATGTACATTGAGTATCATTCATGTACATTGCATTTCACACATTTCTACATTCACATTGTGCTTCAAATAATCACTCATGCACATTATGTTTACTAAAATTAATCACCATTGATCTAGGACTGCTGTTACCCCATCTTTTCAGATCCCTACTGGATCTTCCCTAATTCCTTCATGCCCCTCCCCAGCAAACTTTTGGCCAGTGTTCTTGTTTTTCCTCTATTTTTATTTTATATTGATATGCATATAGAATTTGTTTACATTATGTATCATTCATATACATTGCATTTGACATATTCTACATTCACATTGTGTTTCAGTCTTACGTACTCTTGTGTTTTGTGAGATTAATTACCATTGATGTATGTCTACTATTACTATTTTCAGATCCCCATTGGATCTTTCTTAATTTCTTCACCACCACCCCATCCTCCCACCCTACCTCCCAACCCCACTAACCAAACTCTATTATCCTAGTGATTTCCTTCCCTTTCCACCCTCTGCTCCCTGGCTTCTCTCCCCTTCTCCTTTTGGACTTTTTGGCTTCATCTTGCTAGTTATCCCTCTGTTTTGACTTTACCAGTATTCTAGATGTACATTCCAGAAGTAATGTATATCAGTAGTGGGAAGAGTGTTGACCCAGGATCTGGCATTCTTACAGCTTATTTTTATTTTTGATAGAGGAAGAGAAACTAGATCCATTGCTGGCAAGTCCATTTTAATTCATGATGTTCCCCCTGTGAGTTTCTTAGGCTGTACAGCTTTCTGATAGCAGACTGATCCTTCTCTCCTCTGCAGCAGCTGGTGGATTCAGCTTCTGAGTTTTCTCTTAACAACTCAGCACAGAACACACCAAGATGGAGTCAGAAATGAGAAGGGCTCTGTCCTTCCTGCTTTTCCTATTTTAACTTTTACATTTGCAAAGTGTTGATCAAAGATTGGGAATTAAGCCAAATCATCAGGCAAGGGAAACAATTTTTAAAAACCCACAAACCACATTCTGATTGGGAATGGAAATGGTGTACTCAGTGTTTAAAGGAAGTCAAGAAAGACTAGGGAGCTTTGCTGGCCTAGTATGTTTGGAGCTGCCCAAAGGTGGCACCTCTCTGGCAGATAAACCCGTAGCTCCAGGGCAGGACAGGCAGTGTGCTCCCGTGTGATTCTCAGCTTCTAAAAACTCACCAGAGAGTCAACTATAAGTTAGTTCTGCTTTACTGAAGTGAGAGGGGGTTTTGTGGGATTTTTTGGGTGTGTTTTTTCTTTGCGAGGTGTAGTAAATTGGGATTGTCATGGTCCTTACCTTTCAAGAGCTATCAAATGCTACAGAAGCCGTTTAGGGGAGTGATTGTTGTGTGTGTTTCTTCTGCTCATAAGTACCAATGGTTAATAGCTATTTTGATGACTTGGAAGATCTATTATGATACTAGAAGAACAAAGAAACCTCCATGGAACTTCATTCTCAATAGCTTAAAATATTCCAATTGCACTACCTTGTTCTACACTTGCAAAAGTAGAGAAATAAATAATTATTAAATTATTAATTTATAATAATAAAATTAATAGCAAAAGTAAGGGCAACTCAAAATTGTACTCCACATCAGTTATTTTAAACTGCCTTTTATTCATTTCTAGAAATTATCACAATATTGACTATTCCCTATTTACATTAAGAAGACATCTTCTATAAAGTTCTTCACCAATTGTACTGTGTAAGTGAGACAGCAGGTTGAAATGCATGATTACTTTAAACTAGAGCTAAACTCATTGGCCCTTGAGGTGCTTCTGATTTCACAGTGACCCTCTAGGCCACAGAGTTGAGTTTCCCCACAGGATTTCGAAAGCTGTCATTTTTACCGAAGCAGATTTCACATCTGTGTCCTGCAGAGGAGCTGGCAGGCTTGAACCACCAGGATTTTCACTGGCAGTTTAGCCCTACAGCGTTGTTCACCAGGGCTTTGTGGTTTATTTTAATAGTTAAAATAGCCTCAAGAAGGT